ATCGACGGTACCTCGAATTTCATTAAGCAGATCCCGCACGTCTGTGTTTCAATTGGTTTGGCCATCAACAAACAGATCGTGGTGGGTGTGATCAATAATCCTGTCCAGAAAAAGCTCTTCACAACAAAACTGGGTCAAGGTGCCTTCTGCAATGGCAAGCCCATCCATGTGAGCAGCTGTGAGAGCGTCAAGGATGCTAATGTGGCCTACGAAGTGTCCCTGCTGCATGTTCACTCGGTGGCCAACAAGCACATCAAAAGGATCTATCATGTGGGATTAAATGCCAGACGGTGAGTGTTAACTACCTATTAATCATTAAACAATATCCGAACAATCGAGCCTTTCCAAAAATCAAATTTAAAATATACAAAATTTAAAATATATATATGGGCGTACAAAACAATTAACCAGTCAAAGCTTACTATAAAGCTTCAATCGTTGTTTGTTCCAATTTAATTGAAAGTCAAATGGCGAATTCCATTATAAACAAACAACTGTGTTCAACATTATAGGCGTATGGAAATATAAATTGCGAATATGGATTTAAAAATTTATATTATGGTTCTTATTTAACTGAAAAAATAGTAATTACTTTATATTGTATTGGGTTATAATAAAAACGCATTTGATAATAATAAATTTTAAAAATAAAAATCAAAAAATAATATATTGGTTTTTATGTGCTTTAGAGTATTTTACACTGCTCTAATAGTTTTGTAAAATGTATTCTATGTATGTATATTCAACTCAAAAAATAAATAAATCAAATAATTTCTAGGTAGTAATTATCTAAACAAACTTTTAAGAATTTATGCGACATTCAAGTAAAATGAAATGAGAATTATAATTGCTAGCAAGTGTAAACCACAATCCTTTCTAAAAACCCTAATTATCCCCAGACTTGTGGCCTACTCCTGTGTGGTGGATGAGCTGTGCATGGTGGCGGCTGGCAATCTGGATGCCTTTTACATCGAGGACATGTATCCCTGGGATTGTGCCGCCGGATCCCTGCTGGTAAAAGAGGCAGGAGGCGTGGTGACGCATCCCTTTGGCGGCCCATTCGACATAATGAAGCCGGATCTCATCTGCGCGGGAACAGAGAAGTTGCGCAAAGAGATCGAAGACCTTTTGCGCAAGGCCGATAAGGAGGAGTCGGTGGGGGGCAAGCCAGTGCAGAAGTAATTTAAAAAAGACACACACAAAAACTGTTGGCAAAAAAACGATCTAAATTAAAAAGCTTCGAGGTCAGCTGCACTGTCACTTGGCGTTGGAAGCTCTGCTCATGGAGAGCTTTTAGATATCTTTCAGCTTTGATCGCCGGCAGCTGGTAGATACCAATCGCAAGAAATGGCGGGAAAGTAAACAACTCTCCGTCTAGACTTTGAAAAACATAATGTTATAAACAACCATTTCGTTATCATCATTTTAAACCTTAATCTGCCAAATAAATCCCTATAAGGATGACAAAAAAAATGTGATTTACAATTCTGTGCAAAGATGCTTAAATGTTATCTTAACAATTTAAAAGTTTATGAATTTAAAGGAAACATATTTTTAAAACATTCTTAATGGATAAGAGAATATGTTGCCACAAATTAAATAAATATACTTTGAATTAGAATACGACGAATACGAACTTAATGAATTTGTTAAGATACAATTACAAGATAAGTAAATCATGAACCTGTTTTTTGTGTAATATAAACTTTCTAGTTTAGCATCAACACTTATAAATATACAGAACCTGAGAGATTTATATTATCTTGGATATTAAAAATACTTCAAGCGGATTAAAATATAAAATGTTAATTTAAATTGTTGATCAAAACACTAAGGGAATGAGCTCTGGACTTAGAAGCAAAGTATTTCTGAGTTGGTCTAACCTGACCATTTGAGTCGTAATAATAATTGGTAATTATACAGCTAAATAACACTATTTTCTGTTCCCTAGAGTAGAATTTAGGTGGCACTTACGTTGGGTGGCATTCCGTGGGTTTGGTAACCAATTGGCGACATATTCGGACCCGTCGGCGGCATCTGCATTCCCATGTGCGGACCTTTTGAGAAAACTGCGGATAATTACGTGCGACTGGGGGTTGTGGGTTGGGTTAGATGATGGACATACTCATCCCCTGGTGGTGCGGTGGCATGTGGTGTCCCGGCGGACCCTGGCCCGGTGGCCCGTGCTGCATGGGATGGCCGTAGGCGCCAGGATGACCCGGTGGCGGTGGTCCTTGCAGGGGTGGTCCTTGCTGCTGGTGAGGATAGGGGCTGTGCGGCGAGGGGGCGGGGCTCTGCGAGGGCGGAGCCATCGGACTGGGCGCCTGTGGCGGTGGCATGGGACTGTTCGCCGGAGAGGGCGAGGCCATATTGCAGCTCCTTGTCTGTGTTTTATCCGAAGGTTTCCTTTGAATATTCCAGGACCAACTGGTGCAGTGTTAACTGAAGAATGAAACACACGTCAATGCACTGTATTTACTAAGAATATTTAGAATATGTAATCGAAGCCCTGCTTTTTGTTGTACCCGTTTCTTTTGCACACTTTTTTGCGCAGTCCGGTGTGCAAACACACAAATAAACAGAGAAATACCCGCCAAAAGAGCCAAATTTGACGTCCCGCTTATCGCGCACAAAGTGCACGACCCTATTTCTTTATTTAATACCGAAAGTATTACCTATTAGCACTGTTTTTTAGCAGGTTTTCCACACTTTTTCAACGCGACGCGACAGCAAAACTCTAATGGCGGCCGTCTCTATAACAAAAGTCACGCAAGGGTGGCAACTCTGTCAACCGGCAATAAATGTGGACGCGTTCAGCACAGATCACAAAATGTATTTTTAAAATATAACTTTATCAAGCTTGTAAAGTCTTAATTAAATGTAATGCAAAATAATAAGTTGAGCATATTTTTAAAGTTATTCACAAATTTTGTTTTATTAAAAATATTTTCCTGCTGAACGCACGCTGTGACACGTCATGTTTGCGTGGCCTGTGACTGGCAAAAACGAAACCATTCTCTGCCTAAAAAAAAAGTGAAAACAAGATTATTTCGATTTTGTATTAATTGTAGCACAAAATACAATTAATTAGGTTTACATTTAAGCATTTAGAGGCAGCGCCAGCAGTAGACAAAGTTCAGCCATAATCATGGGTACGTAAGTCGCAGGAACGGAACTTCCCGTGTTGACAACACCCGGTGACGATGTCTGCTCATAAAAATCGTACGTTCTTCCGTTCCAGGTGGGGTGCTCAGCTACTTTCGCGGATTGCTCGGCTCCCGGGAGATGCGCATCTTGATCCTCGGCCTGGACGGCGCCGGCAAGACCACGATCCTCTACAGACTGCAGGTGGGCGAAGTGGTCACCACGATACCCACCATCGGATTCAACGTGGAGCAGGTCACCTACAAGAACCTCAAGTTCCAGGTGTGGGATTTGGGCGGGCAGACAAGTATTAGGTGAGTTGGAGTTACGGGTTATATGGATTCCCGATTTATGATTGTCTTCGAAAATTTAATTGAAAATTAATTAATAATTTCAAATTTTGCCAAGCATTGATTTATTTTCAAAGAAATATTTAAATTAACATTTTGCGATCATGTTTCCTTCCAAAACCTTTCTCGTTCAAATGAAAACATTTGATTGGGTTTGTGAGTACATTGGCTGACGAGATAAGAAAATCTAATGTTTCAAGTGTTCCAACATACATACATATCTCTAAAACAAATGAACTTAGTAGTTCATATTTTTAAGAAGTATTTTAGGCCTAAATTTCATTATATTTGTAATTTTTTAATATTAATTGCGCTCTATTTTTATTAAGTGTATTTATAATCAGGAAAAAGAAACCTAAAATTGAAAAATACTTGAGTTTGGCACAGCCATGTATTATTCACTAACTTAAATACTGACAACATATGAATTATTTATAGACTGATCGAATTTTATTACAATATTTAATTAAACCTTTTAAAGTTGAAAACAAAAAAAAAAACAATTGGAGACTAAAATTTAAAAAAAAATTTAGAGAGAAATAAAACTTTATTGTTTAAGTAAGGGATTTTTAAGTGTGACATTTGAAAATTTGTACATCGTTTTGTTTTCCGTTGTGTTATTTGGTTTTTAAGTAAATTGTACTATGATTTGCCATCTTATTATAAACACTTTATAACCTTTATTTAGTTATGTTCTCAAAGACGTTAAACCACTTAGTCCATAGCATCACTGCGAGTTGAAGTGAATCAAAAATAATTCATTAAAGACTACATTCTATTTAGTAAGTAAATTATGATTAGGTATTTTGAGTAATTTTGGTCACCGTTTTCCAATTTTAGTATCTAGACTGGGGGTATTAATAGATTCATATCATTCAAAGCTCATATCTCAGTTAATATTGCTCGAATCGGCTTTAAATTCTGAGATTTTCTTAAAAAGTTTAAGTAAAAAAAACTTGGAAATAAAAATTAACAAAATAAAATAGTGGCGAAGGAAATTAGCTTTGCAAGTTCTTAAACCATCCTTTCCCATCACATTACAGGCCCTACTGGCGTTGCTACTACAGCAACACAGACGCCATCATCTACGTGGTGGACTCGGCGGATCGGGACCGCATTGGCATTTCCAAGGACGAGCTGCTGTACATGCTGCGCGAGGAGGAGCTGGCCGGAGCGATACTGGTCGTCCTGGCGAACAAGCAGGACATGGACGGATGCATGACCGTCGCCGAGGTGCATCATGCGTTAGGGCTGGAGAACCTTAAGAACCGCACATTTCAGATATTCAAAACGTCGGCCACCAAGGGCGAGGGACTTGACCAGGCCATGGACTGGCTGTCCAACACCCTGCAGAGTCGCAAGTAGATCCTTAGCCAGTCCTCAGCCCCCCCCCCAATTCCCTGTGTAAAAATGTGTGTCCAAAGCATCGCCAGCTAGGAATCGTATACAGCTCTTTTCAAATTGCAGATTGCGCAACAAATCCAAGAACCGAAAGAAACTTTGTAATAACTTCTAGTAATATAATTATTAAATTATAGGATTAAACAATTCAGTAAATTCATGCACTGGTTACCACTCGGCCAGGCCGAATCGCAGCACCCGCTTCTGCTGATTGTCCAGATCCATGCGCACCTTCTGTCGCATGTAGAAGATGGGACAATCTCGGTTGGAGCAGATGACCTCCTCGTGCAGGGATTCCTGGCAACGCTGGCACTCGGTCCACAGGCGGGAGAAGGTCTCCTCCAGTTCCCTCTTGGCGCCCACCTCCTTCTGGTACAGTTCACTCATCCGCGGCTCGCAATGTGGACACAGGCAGGCCTGCTCGTAGCCCTTGGGCATCAGGGATTTGCAGCCCAAGCAGGCGGTTTTCTTGGTCATAAAACCAGCCAGACCGCCCACTTTCGAAGTCACCACCGTGCGAGTGCGTGTGTGCTCTCCCTTCAACAAAATGGACTCGGCATTGTCCCCCAAAATGGGTTCAAAGATCCTCAGCAACGGCTTGGAAAGCTGCTGTTCCAGATAGTAGGTGGCATCGATGGGCACACTGTTCTCCAGGACGTACAGTGGATCCTCTGCCTTCTGGTAGGCGGGTGTGTTTTTGGCTGCCGCACAGATCACATAGGGAACTCGATCGCCCAGCTTGGGAGCCGTACCCGGATCCCTTTTCTTCATCTTGGCGGCCAACTCCACGTGCGCCTGCTTGGCAGCGTAGTCCGTCTTGGCCAGCTCCTTGGTGATGACCAGATGCGAGATGTCTATCCGGTTGCAAAGAAGGTCGGCTATCACCTGCTTCACGTAGGCCACTGCGCCATCGGGATCCCGTTCGATAAGTAGCTTCTGCAGGCATGAGTTCATCAGGTTGGCCACCAGTGGCGAGTTGTCTCGCCGCACGGTTTCGATGCCCTTGCAGTCCATTTTATCGTACGTCTCCGGCCGGGTGAAATACAATCCCGCATAGCGTTTCTTGTTGATCAGTAGATACGGATAGTAAACCTTCTCGAACTCCAGTTTAATGGGATGCACGAACTTGGCGCTGACCAGCTCCGCCGCCTCACGTCCAAGCTCCATGCTGCGCTCCAGTGTTTTCACACCAAAGTTAACCATCACGGAATCGGTGTCTCCGTAGATGACCACCGCGTTGTTCTCGTAGCCATTGGCCTGAGTGTAGTGGGACTCCACCTCGTTTTTGGTTAATTCAATCATGGTACGTCCGTAGGCGGTGACACTGCCCGATATCTCCAGGCACGGTAGCTTGCCCACCTGAGCGCCAGTGAATCCGTACACGGAATTAGCCGATATCTTGAGCGCCAGCTGTCTGCCATCCAGAACCTTTCTTTTAAACGGATCTGTTTCTACTTTGAGGTCATTTTTGGCACGCTTTCTGGCTGCCAAAAGCGATTCCAGGATTTCGGGGAGCAGTCCACGACGCACCTCGGATTTCACAAAATAATTGTTCGACGGAGTGCGCTCTACTTGGTCATCCTGGAGGTTTTCCTGCTCCCTCAGCTTCTCCCGGGTTCCACCCAGGACCAAGGTGGTGTAGCACAAATTATGCGCCATCATTATACTGGGATACAGCGAGGCGAAGTCCAGCGTGGAGATGGGATCTGCATAGTAGCCTCTTTTCGGTTCGATCACAGTTGCGCCCTCGTACTGTTCATCCGATCCTTGAGAGGTGTACGATGGCATGATGAATCCCTTGGTCTTGGCTTTGCGCAGCAGTTGACTCAAAACCTTGATCTGCTGACCGCGGGTGAGCAGGGATTCCAGCGGCACACCCGTCACCCTTGCCATTTCCATGTAGTTAACAATGGCCATTAGCTTCTCCAGCAATCTGAGCGGCAGGTAAGCATCCTTCAGGCAGTACATGGCCAAACGGCGACGTGTCTGCTCGTCTCCATTCTGTAGATCCGTGATAATGCTGTGATGAACATCCTCCTTCTGTTCCTGCAGGAAATGATAACTCACAGCGTTGAGCGTATACGAGCGAAGTTTGTAGTCGCGCAAGAGGACGAACAGAAGATCGAAGGGAACGCGGCCTTCAAAGTTCACGTACTGGTTCTCTCGGCGACCCATCTGCTTGGACTGTAGCATCTGCTCCTTGATCACCGAGCGTATGTTCTTGATCCTGCCCAGATACTCGAAGTTTTTCACCTTCAAATGCGCTGCCCGATTGATGAGGTAGGGAAAATCAAAGTTGTTGATGTTATAGCCGGTGAGGATGTCCGGATCGACTTCTCGCACGAAGGCGGACCACTTGTCCAGCATCTGGGTCTCCTTGTCGTGGCACAAAACCTGGCTGCCAATTATGGGAGCACACTCATTCAGGGTGAAGACATTCCTGATAAAGGGCTCTCGCTCGCCCTGTCTTATCACCATATTGGCAATCTGAATGACTGGATCCATTTTGGCCTCGGGAAAAATACCCTTGCGACCAGCGCACTCTATGTCGAAGGAGAGGATGCGGAAGGGAGCCACCTTGGACCACTCGCCCTCGGGTTCGTGCGAGATGAACCTGTCGAAGGCAACGTCCACCTCGATCTGGCAGCGGGATTCGGGCAGAGGTTTGCTGCGGCTGCTCCTCATTCGCCAATGCCCTTTCGGCAGCTCAATCCAGTTACAGCCCACCACGTCCGTGTCCACCATGAAGCGGATGTCGAAGTCAATGTTATTCTCGAAGGCGCGACAGTCCTGAAAGTCGATCTCTGACATGATCACCTCCTTTTTAAGCAATCGCGAGGCGGCGGCCACGAATCTGGGCAGCGTCACCGAGATCTTGATGTACCTCTGCTTCTTGTCGCCATTGTAACCGTGGATATTGAGCTTCTCCACTAGCTCCACCATTAGCACACCCTCCTGGACATTGTCCTTGTTGTTGCGGATATCGGCTATGACCTTCTGATCGAGGGCTTTCTGAAGTTTTTCGCAGTGGTGCTCCTCGAATTGCCTGGGTGCCTCAATGTAGAAGTACGGACAGAAGCCATGGACATGGCAGCACACAGAGTTGCCCTCCATGGTGATGCCGAACATCCGGACCACCGGTACGGGTCCCAGCTGGGCACCTGGCATTCCTGGAAGCGGCTGACCCAAATAGTTTTCCACATCCAGCTGCTGAAACACCAAGTTGTCCTTGGAGGGATCTAGCTCTGGAGGCGCAGGACGGGACCAACGCTCGCTGGTCTGCTGGTTCTCGGGTCCCTCACCCAGAAGCAGTGTCTGGTCCATCTCCTCGGAGTTCTCGAAGGCGGCCAGCTCCGCCTCAAAGCCCATTTCCTCATCTTCATCGGGATTTCTATGGGTCAAAACTAGTAATGACGTTTTATAAGTTTTTAAAATATTCATTACCTGGGTTTTTTGGCTTGGCCGTTGGAGGTCCCGTTAAACTTGCGCTTGGCGTCCATTTTTGGTATCCAATTGTATTTGTTATTGCAAAAACATGGGACAATATATGATGCCAAAATATTAGGCGCGCTTTTGCAGGTGGTGGAAGTCAGTGTGACCGTAGATGGAGCAAAACTGCAATGTAGGGAAAATATACCAATAATTGCAAAATAACGGTGTCTTTGAAAATTGTAATTTCATAAATTCAAATTTTATTCAAAAGTCAGCAGATTTTTCCGATTGAGTTCTTAAAATAATATTTTTTGTGGCTTTTGGCCCAGATTATTCTTCTTAGTTTTTGATCAAATTAAAAAACTTGCGATCAAAAATAGTGCTGCTATTTAAAAAAAATTCCTGAATCTCTTTGAGTATTCCCGAAACGTGTGAATCTCCTGGATATTCCCAAAACGTCTGAATCTCTGAACTGCTAAAAATTTAGCAAAATATATACTAAAAATTTTCAGCACCTACTGGGTTGCTGAACTGCTTAAATTTCAGCAAGTTGAATTTTATACGAAACAGCTGACGAACAGGTGCTCGAATTTCAGTATATTTCTGCTGAATTTTCAGCAATTCAGAGATTCTGTTGTTTCGGGAATACTCAAAGAGATTCAGACGTTTCAGGAATACCCAAACAGATTCAGAAGTTTCGGAAATACCAAATCTGCCTTGAAAATTATGTTGGCAGCGCTGCGGCAGAGGCTAAGCAGAGTAGAGATGGAAAAACATCGATGATGCCCCGCCAAACATCGATGAAGGCGATATTTTGCAAACATCGATTGCACCGATGTTGGTATCGATGTTTCTCCACCTCTAATCAGATTGTACCACCAAAATTGCTCGTATTCCTCCGAAATTGCAGATAAAACGCATAAACTGATAAAATCGCGAAAGTCGTCCTTTCGCCAAGAGATCCTCGAGAAAAGTGGCCAAGAATACGGAGGACAACGCAGAAGGACGAAGGTGAAAATGACAAACCTGTGAATTGCCAAAAACAGTGCCTGGTGGGGGTGTCTCTCCTGCTCTCCCGCTCTCTCTCTCGCTATCCGCTCGGCTCACGGCTCACCCCTCTCGCTCGCTCGTCCGCTGGAAGGAGGGGGATGGACGGTTGATGTTACGAGCGCAGCGCAGCAGTGTGAATCACGTTTGGACAACCCCGCGGGAACCCAGAGAAGCCAGCGATGTACCAGAGTGCCTGCCAGGCGGCCACCACGGGCTCCTGTGTCCCGGGCACAGGCCAGCAGCCTGACAACGAGCGCCAGTCGGCGCTGATCGCCCAACAACCCCCCACCGCGCCCGTGGAGCCCGACTACAGTGGCTTCGATATCGTTAAGGCCACCCAGTACGGGGCCATTGCCCGGGTCCGGGAGCTGGTCGAGTCCGGCTGGGATGTCAATCAGCCGGACAGCGAAACGGTCACCCTGCTCCACTGGGCGGCCATCAACAATCGACGCGATATCATCCGGTACTTCCTCGAGAAGGGCGCAACCGTGGACGCCGTGGGCGGCGAGCTGAATGCCACGCCCCTGCACTGGGCCACCCGGCAGGGACACCTCGGAGCCGTCGTCCTGCTCATGGCTGCTGGCGCTGATCCAAGGATCCGGGATGCAGAGGGCTGCTCCTGCATACACATTGCCGCTCAGTTCGCGCACACTGCCTTGGTGGCCTACTTCATAGCCAAGGGCGTGGATCCGGATCTTCAGGATCGGGGCGGAATGACGGCGCTGATGTGGGCAGCATGGAAGGTGGGTTCGGTTCTGGGCACAATTTGTAGATGGTAATACAGGAAATTAAAAGCGAAATTTGTTGGTATTGATTTCGATTTTTTGGGCTTCCCCATTGTACCTACATCAGCATAAGTTATCTTTTTGAACTGTCTTACGAGCTTCTCTATCTAAGATAACAAATTTTTATTGCAAAATTCTATCTGAAAGTAGTATCGAAATAGATTTCGCCGACAAAGATTTAAAAAGCTCAGGATCTACCAGTATTTCTTATAATTTCTTTGTTTTTTCATAGGTTTGCGCTCTGGATCCCGTGCGCTTGCTGCTGACCCTCGGAGCCAATCCCGCCATGGTTGATTATACGCATGGAAACACGGCCTTGCATTGGGCCATTCTCGCGCGCAATGCCACGGCCATTTCCACACTGGTGCTCAAGTCGAAGGCCTCACTGGATGTGCCCAATCTGCGGGGCGAGACGCCGCTCTCGATGCTGGAGTCCCAAACGGGCGCCATCTGGATAGGGGCCAAGGTGATGGATCGCGTCAGGGAGGCGGCGCTGACGTCGCAGCAACGTCGATCACTGGTCTCCAAGCTGCGGCACGACAAACGCCTGAGGTGGTGGTCCATGGTGGCCTGCCCCTTCACCGCTTTCTATTTGGCTGGCATCGTCTTCACCGTGAACACGTTGTACATTATTAAGTTTTTCCTGCTCGGCTGTTTGTATGCCATATTCCACACCATCGGCAAGGCTCTGTTCGATGAGCACCTGATGGCCCTGTTGCCGCTGAGCGTTTATCTGGCTACCAAGGCATGGTTCTATGTCACCTGGCTGATGTACATCGACAACGCTGTCTCGTTCACGACCACCATTTGCTTCCTGATCTCCTCGCTGGCCTTGTGGGTGTGCTTCCTCAAGTCGTGGAAAGGAGATCCAGGCATTATTCGGCCCACCAGGGAGCAGCGTTTTAAGGTATGTGGGATATGACTTTGTTTGTTTCATAATTCACCTTCAAACATTCCTAATTTTTACACCCACAGACCATCATTGAGCTGTCGGAACGGGGTGGAGTCGGATTTGAGCCCGCCTCCTTCTGCTCCGGCTGCCTGGTGCGCCGGCCCATCCGCTCCAAGCACTGCTCCGTGTGCGATCGCTGTGTGGCGAGATTCGATCATCACTGTCCCTGGGTGGGCAATTGTATTGGTCTGAAAAACCACAGCTACTTCATGGGATTCCTCTGGATGCTGCTGATTATGTGCCTTTGGATGCTGTACGGTGGATCCAAGTACTATGTCAACCAGTGCAATGTGCGATTCGATGGTGAGTTTAACGATGCTGAACCTATTAATCATCCTTGTAAAACAACGAATCACTCTCAGATTTTCTCGGTGCCATGCGGGCCATTGGCAACTGCGACGCCTGGGTGGGCTGGGTAATGGGCAATGCCCTGCTGCACATGTCCTGGGTGATCCTGCTGACGATCTGTCAGACATATCAGGTGATTTGCCTGGGCATGACCACCAACGAGCGCATGAACCGCGGCCGCTATCGCCACTTCCAGGCCAAGGGCGGCCACAGCCCGTTCACTCGCGGTCCCATCCAGAACCTCGTGGACTTCCTCGAGTGCAGTTGCTTTGGATTGGTGCAGCCCAAGCGGGTGGATTGGATGAACTACTACGACTACGATGCCCAGACGCATCAGACCATCGAGAAGGAGCCGCTGCTGAGCGTGGACTGCCCCGATGGAATGGCAGACGACCATCAGTACGTGTAGGATAAGTCCTATCGGGATGCGAAGACGCTTCAGATGCCCATCGCGCATGTTTAACAATCGACACCAAACGCTTTAGAGAGTCCGCTACTGCTTTTTCTCTATCCCAAAACAAAACCAACCGGCTTCATTTCCGTTTACCTGTTTTAATTGGTCCCCGCTGATCTGCTGCAAAAATCATAAAGTGCGATTCGCGACAAAGAATTCAACACAACCCAGACAGAAGCGTCATCGCTGACCGATATCGGATGGACGAGTTGGGGGTCCAGGCCAAGCAGGGCCACCCTTCACTTGCGTACATATTATGCATGTATTACTGTAATTACTCTGTACATTTTTGCGTATTTCCTACTCTTCGATCGTAAGCCGAAAGTACACAAAACCTTTTTGTCCTTGAAAGTATTTGTATACCAAAAACCTAAATGCAAACCTAAGCAAATTAATACCGAACAAATTTACCAATGCAACCATAATCAAAGCAAGAGTTCGTTTAAGAAAGCAATATTCAAGATTCTAATTCACCTATTGAGATATTAACAAATTGTAAAGCGCACACAACAAAACAAAAAAACACCAAACGAATTGAGAAGCAAGAGAAAACGTAGTAATAATTTAAGGAATTTGCTTGGAAGCGGAATCTGAGCGAAGTTTGTCTTAAGTGTAGTGAGAAATTGATCATTATGTATTTAGAAAAGTGTAAAGTAATAGTGAAAATTCTAAAATACGCAATCTTCACGTACTTTTTGAGACGCTGACAGCTCTCTAGGTTCGACAGCTTCGTTTCAGGGACGGCAAAACACAGGCTCCATAAATATTACTAATTAAATATGGCAAAAACAGCATAGACAAGAAAGATAACCAATTGATCAGAAGCACTAGCATACTTAAACAAATAATACATTTTTAATACGATCCAATTCTAATTATGCACTAGTCTAGTCAGAAAATCATTTAAGTAAAATGTTAAAGTGCAACTACAGACACAAAATCGATAAATAAATTGCATATTTATATAAACCCATATAGCTATGAAACGATATATTTATAATGAGAAAATGGAATTTCAGCAACCTGAGAACAAAACGCAGCATAGCCAGGAATAAACGATATGTTGTTGTAATTGTAACACGTTACTTAAATGCATTTAAATATTAATTCAAACGAAGTCTACAAACAAATCTAACGAAGAAACGCTAAGCAAACATTTTCAACTATGTACTAAATATTGATAAAAACTCACAACTTTTTCGATGAATTTTGTATTTGAGATTATACAAACGGAGATGGATAGACGGATAGAGATGAAGCGATTTGCTAAGAAAGTTATATGTTTCAAACACCATTTTGTATATTCCTTTCGCTCGCATTGCAACCAAGAATAAAGCTTTCAAAAGACTATATAAACCGAACAAGATCCAACATCAAGCAAACCTCCATTAAAAGAGCATTGCGCCTATGAACGTATTAATTAAGTGTTTTGGCCTATTTAATGAAAACCAAGCAAATCAATCCCATTGCCTACATCTTTAGTTTAGCAGCTAAGTTCAGGACAAATATATTTAACTAAAGATATATAAATGAATGTATTAAATAGTGTGTAGAAGGATGGAAATTGTGAGCTCGATAAGGTGTCTGTATGTATGTGTAACAATGTGCGTTAAAAACCAATTTGAATAATAAATAGAACTTTATTCCGTATTCAAAAACAAAAAAAATGTGGCTTGCATAAGTAAATGGGTTGCTAATAGGCTCAATTAAAATAAAACGCACTCTAAATTGGGTTTTAATTTGTTTTTATTGTTTGATGACATAATAATTGTAGATTTTAAATTTTTTGTTTTTTAATTCTTTTTTTTCTCGACATTGATGCATTACATTTATAGGCTCACTTTAAAAATAGAATTTCTTCCCTTTTATGATAAATTAAGTTAAATGGTTTTATCGATTGGTTTTTTGTTTTGCTTTTATTAAAAGTAAAACATTTAAATATACGCAATTAAAACACGTTATCGCATTTTACATTTCAATTTCGTAATTAGTTTCAATCCTTGTTGTTTAGCTTTTGCTTTAGACTTTTGCAGCGGGGTGTAAATGATATATTATACATATATTATATTAGCATTATGTATAATTTACTTGCTTGATTGCAAAAAATATGAGAATATTGCGCGTTTGCAACGTGCCAATTTTAGTTTCCTTTCAATATTGTTATTTTTAGTTTAAGCAAATTAAAAACACAAAGGCTTATGCACTAAATAAACGAATTGTTGCAAAAGTTAGTTGAGAAGTACGGACATAGATATTACATATAGAGTTAAAGATTGAAAGAAGATCTGGACTATGGACTGGTCTGTGAGCGTGTCGTGTGTGTGTGTGTGGCTTGGATAGCAATAGCGTCTTTTGTCTATATAATATATAGTTATCAGGTGGGATTTCGGCGTGGCCAGCTTGAGCTCAATATATATATATATACTATATAATGATTGATATTTGGTCGGAGTTGAAAGAAGCTATAGGTGTTTCATCGTTTACATTCGATTGCCGTTTTCACATGCTAACACAGAATACAGAACGCGCGGCCGAAGGTTAAGTTCAAGTCGAAGAGGGGTTAAAGTAGACGTAAATATATATTGCAATGCGTTTCATAAGCGCACTTGATAAGAAGGGAAATTAACATAAATTGGGTAAAATATATAGAGATGTATAATTTTCATTTAAGCCTAGTACAATGTTTTGCAACTGCGCCTGTCCGAGTCCCAAAGCCGGAAATTCGAATTTTCGCCATGACGTGGGCTTATCTTGATTCCAAATCGGATTGAATATGAGTAGAGAAACGGATCGAATGGAAATTCGGGACTTTGGGCCAGAGACAAGCGCAGTGTCAGCGGTTCTTTATATATTAACTACGGACGCGCCGCAGACTTTTAGATGCTTTACAAAGTGGCTTACAGATATAGCCCATTTTCACCCGCTTGCAATGCAACTTAAACCCGTTTACACGCGGCCCAACCACTCAAGATTGACAGACATTTCAGGAAACCAGAATGTGATAAGACGAAGCCATCCGCGCAATAAACCCGATATACCAACTTTGACATTTGCCAGTGCCAGCGATCAAGCGTGAGTGGGAGGAGGCCGCGTATAAACTTAAATGTTTAATAAATATACGAAATATTATACATGCCTTAGTGCTATAAACATGTGTAGACACATGCCTTAAATATATATATATATATCCATGTATGTATATATAAATTTCTTTTAGTACTCATATTATATATATATATTTTGTTTTAAGTTTTCTTTTCTGTTTTCGCTTCGCCTCCCTTTACTCCTATTTATTTTTGTTTTTGTTTTTTTAATAAAAAATATATATAAATATAGCTATTTTGAATTTGATTTTATCTCTCTGCTCATATGTATTGTTATCAATTTTGTTTTCTATGCAGTTAAATCTTTTGCTTGCTCAGTTGGTTTACCATTAAATACGCTTACACAGTTATGATTATTGGGTAAAAATAGAGGCTTATGTTTGGGTTTATTATACCCCTTAGGCGGGGTACCGCAAAACGCAAAAAGCAATTAGCAGTTGTTTTTAAAAAAAAAACACAAAAAATAATAATATTTATAATTGGTAGAGCAAAACAAGAATAAATAACAAAGGTGCCGTGTAAATAGGGTTCTGTAAAAATTATGTATATCATATAAAACTTATGCCTAGTCTAGGTGTCGAGCGGGGTTATAGTATATAGCAAATGGTAGTTGGCTTCACCTCGTTCACTCCCCCGTTTACTTTCGGTCTGTGTTAATGGGTGATGGGTAAAGGGAAAAGGGGAAAGGGTGTGTTTGTTTGCTTGCTTATCGGCTTGCTTGGTCTTGTAATATGTATACAATTTATCATATATTTATAAACATTAGTTCCCACTGATGTTACGTCTTTTGCAGCAGCTCGCTTTGTGGGCTGGGCGGACTTGGCTGCTGCTGGTTCAACATGGTCGGGGCAGACAGCGTGGTTGCCTGTGTAATAACTGTCGTGGCAGAGATGGTCTGTTGCTGCTGCTGCTGCTGCTGCTGCTGCTGTTGGTGCTGCTGATGCAGCTGGTTCGGCGCCTGCTGCAGCTCCTGGGGATGCTGCTGGTTGGTCTGATTGTTCAGCGGCTGGTTCGAATTGCAGAGCACCGAGTAGACGGAATCAACTTTGCTAAGCTTCTCAAAGAGCGGGATCAGTTCGCGCAGTTCACAGTCGGTCACATCGTCAAACCACGATTTCACAGGAACCTTTAACGGCACAACCACAAAGTTATTGTGTGCTTTAAACGGGCAAAACCTCTTTTACTTACTGCATTGTCTGGATGAAAGATATAACTGGCCGGTGAATTGTCGACGATGACAATCTTTTGCAAATCCCGCCCCAGACGATTCAGATCCTTAATGTAATTACCCCTGTAGTAAACGCATGATTCCCTAAACAGTCTTGCACGAAACACGTTCCATCTGAAATGGTATTTATTTTAATATTTTATTAAAATTTACCAAACTCTTGATTTGAGCTACTTACTTGTCTAACAGATCGGCAACGGGATCTGCATATTTGGCTAGTGATGCTGTAAACAAAACGCACTCGTACAGTTCACCCATCTTCTGCAGAAACTCATCCACATGCGGTCGCTTCAGAACGTACACCTGATGTACGGTCCCATCGATCTCCACTGGAACTATGAAATCAGCATTCGGTATGGGCTGAAAAATATACCAAATTCACATTTATTATTATATGGAATTTTTGAGGATCCCGATCCTTTAGATTTACTTACCTTAAAACTACTGTGCACTAGGGTCTCATCCAAATCGATGACCATGCACTTTCTGTGCATATCGGTGAGCCTAACCTGAGGTAGTAGGTACCTTTGTTGGTCCGGTAGTGGTGGCGGTGTTGTTGAACCATCGATTTGTGTGCCATTCTGGTTGGTTTTCGTTCGATTTCGTCGCCAACAGCAAAGCAGAGATTGGATGAATCCTCGCTTCTGTGGCTTTAGTCGATCCACATCGTCTGCAATCAAAAATGTTAGGTTAGTTTTATTTTAATAATTAAAAATAATAATATAATCATTATATTAATAATACAATATAAGAACAAAGACCTCAGAAATGTCTGAAAAAAAGTAGAAAGATGATACCATGTAATATAAAGTGTGTTACTTTAAGAGTGTGGTCTTTTTTTAAAAGTCTTTAATTTTTTACCAAAGTTAAAATGTTTTTACTTTATCCTTATTAACTTAAAAAAACAAGATCACATAAAATCTCATAAGCTCTGGGTTTTTATACACCTATTTCAATAAAACGTACTAAAACCACATCATAAATCTTGACAAGGATATCAAAATACCAAAACATTCCTTCTTTTAAACTTTATATACTTTAATAGAAATTCCAAGCATTTCCTTGATGACTCCACCATTAATTTCAACAAAATTCCAGTCGCCTCATAAAAACTTCTCCCGCAATATTTAAGACGCCTAAATACGCCCACGATGTTTCCCACACGTGCCTATATATTTTCATTCCATTTTCGTCTGGGTGTTTCGCCTTGCTCAGATTACTATTTACAGTTTGCGCCCCATAATGACATAAACATTGTCTGTTTGGTTTGCTACATTTGCATAAAACAAATATAGATCTATTCCAATTTCTATATCTGGTTAATACTGCAGTACATGCCATGCAGACAATTTGTTTTAGTTTTTCGTTTGGCCGCCAGTGTGTTTTGGTTTGTGTTTTTGTGCGAAAATGTTTAAAAATAGAAGTCAAAGGCAAAACTAGAAGGCAACCACACTGCGGGGGGCGTGGGGGGGAGGAAACATGCGTTTAATCGATGGGAAATGCTATAATTGCATGCAAACACACAGTAGCAGATAGAGCGAGTCAGCGAGTTATAGTGAAATATCTCATTGAAAGCCCCACAATATAGCTATGAATTAATACATTAACCAAAAATATATATCGTAAATTAATGTCTCCTCTTGTCTTAGTGATATTCCAACAATTTTTCGGTGCTCGTTTGTCTTTATCTCAATTACTCCCCTTTTTAGCAATGAGCTCAGTATATAAAATTATGATTTGAGAAAAGCACAACATCATTGTTAGCTGATTACTTAATTAGGGAAAAATGTTATAAAAAATTAGATTAAATAATGAATGCAGTCTCATAAACATGGCTTTTAAATCTAAACAGATTTTTGTGAAAGGACAGTTTTACTAAAAAAGTTGTTATATTAAAAAAACATATATATTATATAAGCGTGTAGGAAATTGTTAATTTCTTAAATGGTCATTTATTCATTATTTAAATGCAAATTGTTGCTTAAAAATGTACCCTTTCAGAATAAAGACAAATTATAAAAACTGTAAAAATGGTAGAGTTCAAGATAAAGTAGTTTCACTGTAGCAAATACAACGAGTCAGCGAGATAGTTAGTTGGTTAGATAGATAGATAGAAGGTCACAGCTTGACCTTTAAGCTGGCTTGAGGTGCGGCCACCTTGGCTAAAAGGGATGAGGGGTGCCGAATGGGGGGGGGAGTCAGGAATAGGGGATAGCTAAAATGCGTCCGTCCGCCATTTGCATTGTGTGGCAACAAAAGGAAACAGCAGTCAAACATCACTTAGCAGGGAAAACAAGCTTCAAGTGAGTGATGTGGGTGGTAGTGGGTGGTGGTGGGTGGTGCTAAAGGGGTTAGCGGTGGTGGAATGCGGTAAGAGAGCGTCCTTCTTGCTGGCTAAGCTAGACGTAACGGTTCATTGAACCGTTAACCAAGTGAAAACTGAGCTCAGGATGTGACGAGCTTTTTCTTTCTGTGTCGCAAAATTTAACCATACCCTTTCTTATTGAAGGTATCAGAAATGTTCGAGCACCAATCATGAGATACCTTTTATAAAATATCGATAAAAACAGTGATATGCTTTCTAAAAAAAAAAATTTTTTTTATTTATTTATTTGCTTTACGTTCAGAGGATAATTTTAAATCGTTTTAACATTTTTTATTTTTAAATAAATTGAGATAAAACAATTTATAACATGTCAACCAAAAGTTAACCCCTAAAACCAACGAGTAAAAAGAAAAAACTATTTTAAAATATCCAAAAAATATTTGGCGAATGGAAATGTTCATGCTTTTAGTGATAATACATACTACCGGCTTCTAGGATCGTATCTTGCGAAAAGTGGTCTACAAAGGGTACAAAAACGTACCATTTCTTTCTTGTTTTGTTTCCTAATGCATTTTTTCCGCATAGAACCCTTGCAAGTGAAGTGCAAATGCACTTGAATATTTTATGAGCGTGTGCTCTTGTTGTAGTTGCTGCTGCTTCACTGGCATAATGAAAGCTTTTTCCAGCGTCTGGCATTTGTGATTATTAGGCAGGTGAACCTGCATTTCTCCACCCCCTTCCCCCAGCCTTCACCTCTTTTCCGCTCCTTCCGCTCACCCCTTCAACTTTTTGCATAACTTTGCATAAAAGGGGCCGAAAGCCAAGCCGAAACACTCAACTTGTTGAAACTGCTCTGTATCCTTGCTGATTATTGATAGGCAATCTATATTTGGGTCGTCGATGGAGCAACACCTCCAACCAACCGATCCACTCCAAATACCCAACCACCCACATCACACTCAAATAGGCTTTTGTCCTATTTTTAAGGTGTTTCGGGCAAAGCGTCGCTGGATTTGTGTGGGCAGCAGGTTCGCATTCTTCTTGTGCTCGTTTCCAGACATATTTAGATGACCATATTTATAGCTCATTATTGGGGCAACAATCTGTCATGTCTCTACGAGATTCTTTTTTAATAGACATCCAAATTTGGGCCGAAAATATGCGAAACGAGTCGATCACGTTGAAATACTAAATGTTTCAATGGGCTCGAGAGCAATTATTTGGTTCAGATTGCCTTTGATGTTCACAAATCAAAATTAATGGTAAAAGGCAATGACTGCAATAACTGTGAAAATACAAGCATCTGAAGTTCGTGGAAATGTTTATTGGAGTCTTTAATTATGTGGGTTTTATTTTGTTTCATTACATCACTTAAACTGAACATCTTGCAGTTTAGTAAACAATAAATAACCTAATTAAAGTTATTGAGATGTGATTCCCTTTCCAGCTTAACAGAATCCATTTAATTTCTAAACCAGTTATACAAAGTTTATTATAGCAAATAGCAACAAATGTAAATAATTTTATATAACGTTCGTAAGTATAAAACAATTGCTTGAATCAAAGTTCTCTGGAGTAAAAGCAAAAAAAACAAAAACAATGCGCAGTATTTAATTCAGAGTATATCAGCTGAGGGCAAGCTTTAAAATCACAGATTTATGTAAAATTATAAAAACAAGAAAGAAAGCAAACTTCGACAAGCCGAAGTGTGTATACCCTTGCAGTTATTGCAAAAATTAAATATTCTTGAAAACACTTAAATTTCGATTTTTATGCGTATATGTTTAATAACATTTATGATGTTCAGCTCAATTATTTGATCGTCCTATTGCAGCTATATGATACCGTTTTCCGATTTGAACTTAATTAAAATCTTAATTTTGAAGAATTATTATTAATTATTACTATTTACAAAAGAATTAAAAAAAATACTAAAAATACTACTATTCCGATTGTTTTAATGGGAGCTATATTATTTAGTCGTCCGATTTTCATGAAATTTAAACCGTAATTCTGAAATATTTAACCATTACTTTATCCCAAAAGACTAAAAAAATATTAAAAAACAGCAAAGTTATAATTTTGTATTTATTTTTCCGATTGTTTCCATGGGAGCTATATGCTATAGTAGTCCGATTCGAATTATGTACTACCTACAATAGAAAGACAACTTTTGGGAAAGTTTCGTGCTGATAGCTTTAAAACTGAGAGTCTAGTTTAAATAGAAACGGACGGACGGACGAACAGACGGACAAACGGGCATGGCTAGATCTACTCTCTTTGTGATGCTGATCAATAATATATATAATTTATAAGGTTGGAAATGTCTTCATCACTGCGTTGCAAACTTCGCACTGAATTTATAATACTTTCTGCAAGGGAATAAAAAAAAAAACAAAAATACAGACAAGGACGACGGCAACTACAATCGGTGCATTAATTAATGCAAATGCGAGTCCTTCTCCGCCAGACTGTTAAACGGCCTCACGCGTCAATTGGGCTTGGTTTTCAGGATAATTCGCCAACATACACATCCATTAAAGCCAACACACCCGTTTATATGTATTCTCCACTGATGCGGAACGGCAATGACAATTTCTAAAGATTTTCTTTTGTTATAATTTGAACATATTTCTTTGACAACTTTCGGTTCTGTTGGCGGGCAAGGTCTCTTTATGTCAGATATTGAGAGGGCAACACGTCAAGGGGGGTATTATTTGATAATTAATTTAAAGCAAATAAAACAAAAATTCATAAGAATTCGAGAATATAATTGCCCACATGCCGCACACACCGTGAACGTTTTTTATTCGACTCTCGGCCACAGACGCTTATCTAATCAAAATGTTTGTTATCTGGTGGGGGGCACACTATGATATCATTCTTGCCGATTCCAAGAGCAACAAAAATGCCACACAGTCTCGACCTTCAGCATATTTATGGAGCTCTTTTTTATTTTCTGTTTTTTTAAATTTCAAGATAGAGACGGCTCAAAATTTAAGCCACAGCAGAGAACGATGGCAAACAAAGTTAATGGCACGTGATATAAATGGGCAAAAAAATGTCAATGGTCACAGTATATATCGACTAAACGAAAAACTTTTTACATAATTTAATTTCGCATCGAAACCTGATTATTTTAAAGTGTTAAATAAGGGTATTTAATGTTCCTGTGGAAACACCTGCCTTACAGTTTTCGAAAACTCAATTCTGTCATCTGTAGAAACTGCAGCACCCCCAAATTGTCTTTGTTTTTGGGGGTTGGCCTTTATTTAACCCCCATCGTAGTTCAACGAACCTATATCAACCATGGAGATAAAATCTCAATGTACAGAACTCGTTGACCTTTATCGATTTGAAAAAAGGAAAAGCTAAGGCCATCTTGTCTGTTAATATTGAGTATATAGGAAACAGCATCGAACAAAAATTTTGCACAAAGTCCGCTCATCTTGGGACGTATATAATATTATTTTTTTTTAATAATTAGGCATTGCAATGCATCTGTTCTCTGTCTGTTTTGTGTCTTTCATAGCCCATAGGGTCGTAATTTAAATACACTTTTAAGTAGAGGCAATTTCGTTATCAAAAGGTTCTATGTTTATTCAATACAAATTATATTTAAAAAAAAAATTAAGTTTGCCAATTTCTAAAATTTATTTTTTTACAATCGTGTTAATACTTCTCAATACTTTCTTTAACTTTCCCATTAATCCACAATCTTTATTTTAAATGCCAATTTGTTTTTGAGCCTAATTTTATTATTTATTATTTAATGTTTATTCATTTAATTTATAAATACAAAATTCAGAATAAGAACTAAATGTTTATACTATGTTCCTTTTTAGCTATTTTAGGTTGGGGGCAATAAATGCCGTAATAAAAAAATAATAATATAAATATTTTAGCGCACAAATATATGTGTTAATATATTTGATATGTTTATTCGAAAAAAGTGTAAACATTTCAGCATGTTACAGTAAAAAATGCACGGTTCGGACCAATTTAGATGTTCCCGTTTTCCCGAATTTGTTTATGTACGAGATCTTTGAACTCAATTCGCAATCTTTAAAATAACATTATTTTTCTATTTTGGGACCCGCTCAATAAGTTTTTGAAAAATAATAAATATTCGAAAAAGGGCGTAAAATCGAAGAAAAACGCGTTGTCTGTGTGTGCTTGAGTAATTTGGCTTCCAAGACCTTGAGAAATTGAAAAATCACAGCAGTTCAGCTGAGGTGGCTAGGAATGAGAAATGAGATACTAGAAGAGCATTTGAGCGTTTGCCCATAAGAACAATATAGATGTATTTATAAGCGAGGGTGACTTGCGGGTGGAGGGGGCTGTATGGCGAACATATATCTATATAAATATTTATACGCGGTGAGGCAAAGCAAAAAGCACTTAGGCGGCGGCACCCACTCTCAAATAAAAAAGAAAAACATATTTCAACTGTTGCTGTTCGCTTGCCGGTTTGCCCCTATTGTCGTGCTCTTCGCACTCGCAAACCCACTCGCTTACACAAAAAAAAAAACAGATCAGATATAAGTAGTAATATTAAAGGCTTAAGGCTTTTGAACCACTAATTTAGTTGCAATACCGTGTATATTCAAATGTCACTGTTTTTAAGCTAATGCTGCAAAAAGCATGTGCTCTATCTTGCCTTATAAATTTTGAACGAGAATTAACTTTTCGGTGGGAAATAAAACTTAGCTAACTATCCTCTAATTTCCATTGAATTTAAAAGTGAAACTAGCATAGTTTAAGTTGATTAAAAATAGTTTTAATCATGCAAAGTTTTGACCAAGACTTAAAATTTTAAAACAAAAACCCAAAGTTTTCTTATCTTTTGGTTAATACCACAAAGATATAATTTTTTTATATTTTCCGAGTTTTATTTATTAACATTCGTCATTAAGCCCATTGGTATCTTCTTTTTGATCAGTGTACTACTATCTTGACCACAAGTGTTTGTACATACAGCTGCGATGACGTCTCGCTCATTATCTCACGCTCTCTCAGTTGCCCAAAGCTCAACTAGTAAAAACCGCTTAAAATCCCTATTTGGAACCCATTGGGATAACTTGATTTCTAAGATGTAGGCTCCTGAATTGTTTTTCGATATATGTAGCTGGTGACACATATAGATCGGCGGGCAGATAAAGAAAAATACATTTATTTGCGCCAAATTGGCAGCAATGTCGATCAAAATCAAAATCAAAGTGAGCGAGCGACGTCGATTAACACCTAACCGCAAATAATTCTTCTACATTATATATCAAGTATAGCTTGTACATGTGTGAACATGTATAAAAGGTGCAGTGGCGACCGCAGATTAGATTAAATTAGTAATTACTTTACTTTAAGACGTTCATCGCGGTTTTTTCTATGTCAAGCCCCACCCCTCTCTCTGCACAGAAAAAAATACCGATCTCGAATCAAAAATATATTTACGTTTCTTGTATCTTATGTTTAACTAATTTTGAGTGAAATAAATTGAACATTTCTCCAAAAAGTTATAGTCAGTATATTTTTAGACTGTATGTTGACTTAATATCAATGTTAAAATCATAAAAATGAACATTAACTTTTGTCGATATTTCTTTCGGTGAACTTAGCCCGCTCTCTTTGACTCTCACCATTCATTTATTCATTCATTCATTACAACCATCTCGCAACCTTTAAGCTACGCTTTTGTTGTTCGTCTGTTGCTTTGTTTGTTTGTTTGCGTCACTGTAAAAAACATACAACTAGTTTTATTGTGCTCTCTCTTCCTCTCTATCTCTTTTCATACCGGTTTTCCTCTATTTTTTCTTAACTTTTTTTTTACGTTTTCTGCTGCTTTTTACTGTGCAATTTAATTGGCAGTTTCTATTGTTGGACCCTCGAAAGTAAACATGCAAAGGCAGTTAAGTGAACGAAAAGAAAATAAAATAGCAGAGAAGAAAAGGCTTTCGTGTCGAAATTCCATGACGTCACACGAGCCGAAAGACGTCATCAATTGATTACAGGTGGGAGTGGGCCAGTGGGTGGCAAATGGGCGGTAATTGGGCGGTGGGTGGCCGCAGAGTTGCAACTGCGTCGCAAAATAATTCAATAACCACAGAAACGAAGCGAGCAAGTGGTTAGATCATTCACAATGGCCAACGAACAAGTAAATACTGTGAACTGAATAAAAAGGGGGCGAAACAAACACAACAGACACAACTGGAGTGAAAATAATTCTACTATTATGAATTATAATAATGGAAACCGGGTACATATATTGTAGCGTTTTGATACTAACTAAATTTCTTTTTTATCTACTTGCCATTCAAAAATACTTTTTTTTGTCAAGTGTCCGTAAAAATCAAATTAATTAGTATCATAATTTGTTCTCAGACTTAACTTTGTTTTTATTTTATTATAGTAAGATAATACCCTTAAATTAAGAAGTTCTAAAAAAAGTCCCCCAATCTTGAACTCCATTAGAATGTTTCTTCTTAAAAGAGTTACTAAAAATGAAGTATGGGGCAACACTATAAATAGTAAACTTATTGAAGCTATTTTCAGTAAACAATTTTTTATTTTAGTCAGAGAATTTAGAGGTAAGTTGAGTTGAAATCATAAATTCAAATAAAGCAGTTGTCATTAAATTTGATGCGACTTACAGAAAGTCTAAGTACAGGTTAACTTTCGTAAAAGTGAAATTGTTCAAGAAAATTTAAGTATTCCCTTGAATTTCCCTTGAAATTAAAAAAAGATCGCGCTTATCTAGATGCAAATAAACAAGCATACGTATTTTTCTTAAATCTGAGCACCTCTGGTTTTTATTAATTCACCTATAATGTGTGCCCTGTATATTTTATATAAAAAATGGCCAGTGCCGTTTAATAAATGTGTACTTTATAGAAAGTACGACATATGTACATATGTACAACTAACTATTCCCACAATTATATTGACCGCAATTGGGTGGGCACGAAAGGTCAGCGGGGTGTCGGGGTTTATTTTGGGGGCATGATGGGTGGTGGGTGATAAGTGGAGTGAGAACTTCTTGGCAGCGGACAAGTGTCCTTTCGTCTTTGTTGTGACGCCAAGTGCCGTTGGTTAGTGATGAGTCATGAAAGGAGGTCTCTCTATTGGGTCTTGGGTTTTCCCCGGATTCGTCCCCATTTTCTCACCTTTGTCATTGGGATAGCTGGGATAGACGTTAAGCTGCTCGTCGTCGCGGGAAACTTGCGTGATTATTGATGTTGCATCCATTTAAGCACTCGGTTTTTGGACTCCACTTCGCTTAACAGGTTGATAAATCAGATCGCTCTTGGATAGGATAGCTGCAAAATGTTGCGCACACATGAGAGATACATATGACAATTATCGCGAGATATTTCCATGTTTTCTTCTTATATATGTACATATATATGCCATATATACCACTTATATATAGCTCACACACACACATGCACCAATTGATAGTCCCAGACAGTGGAATTTTACAATTACGCTTTCGCCGTCCGTTCGCTTCGTTTTATTTCTCGATGCAAATGGGTTTTCCCTTTGATATTCACCTCGCTCTTTATTGCTCTCTCTCTTTCTCTTTAGCTCTGTTGCACTTTCGCCTTTTCGATTTTTTAAGTTTAATACTTTTAAACGTTAAAAAACACTTTCTTTTCCTTCGCTCTTGTTTTTGGTTGCGCTCATTCTTTTACTTCTTTATCCGCGTCTCTTTTTCGCACACAGCTTCGCAGCGTTTTATTTATAAACGCCCACACAGACACAATGCACACACACACGTATGCATACGCACGCACACTAGCTCGGCCCGAATATATTTTCTTTATTTCTCGTTATTTAATTTTTCGCACTCGTTTTCCCTGCTCGCATCTTGCCATTAATTAATCGCGCAAAAAAACAAAACGCGTGTGTACGTCGAAAAAAAGTAATAGGAATAGCGCAAAAAACAAAACGTGTGGATTAGTGTGACCGCGGTGGTTGCGAGTCAATATGCCAATTGGCTGTGGTAAATGTCCTAAAATTGGGTAATATACTACTTAAAAATATATTTTTAATTAAGCTAATGTATTACAAGGAGGCCTGTTTGGAGTTTATTAGAGGATCCCGAAAGTATTAAATTAAAGGCAACAACAATAATAGTTGATTACTTCTTTTAACAAACGCTCAAGGCAAGAATTTAAAAATTGCATCTGCGGTCCTACTTAGGTGCAAAGCGCTGTCAACTGCATCCAAATGAAAGTCGCTTAATAAAATAAAAAAGATAAATTTAAAATAAAGCTATAAGAGCTCCAAAACATATTATACAAACTCGATCATATTAAGTGTAATGAAATCAGTCAAAGTAAAGAGCAGCAAATATTAATGCAAACATTTAACAAAAGATACATACGCATACCTATCCATATATAAAAAGATATGGAATTCTAATATTTTCTTGAACTAATTGTCGATTCTAAGTTTTAAAAGTTTGAGATGCCCCAATTAAAAATTGTAACGAATAAATTTATAAGAACATCCAAAATTAGCTAGAAACTAGCTAAATGACAGCCAGTAATATTTGCAGAACTCTGGCAACGCTCTGCGGGATTGTTGTTACGCGAGCGATTTTTGTGGTTTTTATTTCTAGTTAAATTAATCAAAGAAATTGACTAGAATGTTAGCTCTATGCAGCGCCCAGAGGTTGAGCTTACGGTTGGCTAAGAATTTATATTAATACAAACAACTTAATTCGCTCACTTGATCCTTTTTGACTGCAGTTCCCTCCTGCCGGCTGCCTACAAAAACGTGGGATTGGTCAGCTACTCATCCTCGCAGTCGAAAAACGACGATGGATACTCCTCCTCGGACGACGAGAAGCCGATGAAGAAGAAGGACAAGTCCGTGGAGAAGAGTGATAAGCCCGCGGAGACTGCGGCTCAGCGTTTGAACCGATTGCTTGGCACCATGCAGGCCACAGACCAGCTCTCTGCATCCGATTTCCCACGTCCTGGCGATGCAAACCGGAAACGTAGGGAGCTCCAAAAACAGGAGATCGCCTCCAAGAATGTCCTGACCGCGGCGAAGAACATTGCCAGCATGCTGGGCACCAGCGAGAGCGACAAGAAGCAAACGGAGTCCGAGTTGCTGGCCAAACTTCTGGGTCATGGCAGCGAATCCTCTCCAGCAGCGGCGGGGGAAAATCAGGCGACAGATGCATCAACAGCTACTGCTGGCGATAAGGAACTTAATCTAAGGTAGGTACAAATTTAATTTAATTGACACAAGATTTCTTTCCCATCAAGTCATTCTACTCAATCCGAAAAGACTTTGAAGTTAAACATAATTGACAATAATTTTCCTTTGACCTCCTTTGACAGCGAACTGATTGTGGGCATGAAGATCGATCGTCGCCAGCAGCCGCAGCAGGTGGAGCAGACCCGCGGAGAATACGTGCGTCGCTCGTTGGCTTCCAGGTCCAAGTCACAGGGCAGGGATGGTTACCATCAGCGGCCACAGAGGCCCATCAAACGGGAGGCTGAATCCTTTACGGGCAGCGTAAATCTCTATGGCGGAGAACCGTTGGGCATCTTCAAGGATACCCAGATGCCCAGCTCTAACGACATCCTTTCCACTTGGTCGCAGCTAAGCGAGCGAGAGCTGAGCCTCCAGGCCGCCCATCCGCCGGCGAACTACTTCGAACAGATGGTCCTGTGGACAGACGAGAGCAAAGTGTGGCGTTTTCCCATCAACAACGAACAGGATTGGGTGGACGAGGTGAACGTGGACTTCTCGGAGCACATCTTCCTCGAACAGCATCTGGAGGAGTGGTGTCCCAGCAAGGGTCCCATCCGCCATTTCATGGAGCTCGTCTGCGTCGGCCTGTCCAAGAACCCCTACGTGACAGCCCAGGAGAAGAAGGATCACATCCTGTGGTTTCGCGACTATTTCGCAGCCAAGAAAGACATACTCAGGGACTTGATTAGCAAGGAGCCGGGCAAAAGTATTTCCGCTTAATGTCTTTGTTTTGAATATTTGTTAAAAATATATTTTTGCTTTATAAGACCATCGATATATAGTTATATATATATGATATTGTTTAGATATATTGTGTGTGTGTGTGTGTGTGTGTATAAGAATGTGGATCCGTTAAATATTCTAATACTTCGAAGGCTGTGCAGGCTGTGCGCGGAATGAGTGAGCCGGAAAGGGGCTTCAGAAGAGTAGGATGCGCTTCTCCACCGTCTTGCGGCAGATAGGACACCCCTCGATCTGGTCCCCGCACATCTGGCACGTGCCGTGGCCACACAGGAAGACCATGTTCTTGATGCGATCGAAGCAGACGGGGCACATAGTCTGTAAGGGAAATATTCGTTATTAATCAGGTAAATTAACCTCCTAAAAGCAGCAAATATAGATAAATTTTAGGGATACTTTGCTTAAATGCAATGTGAACCGTTTCAGAATCAAATATGTTTAGCCACCCACCTGCTCCTTGATGTCCTGCAACTGCTGCTTCAACTTCTGCACATCGTCCATTTGGAAGTTGTTGACATTGGATGGGGCCACCATCACACTTCCAGCTGCTGCCAGATTCGAGACATTCGACGAGGCTGCTGCAGCGGCCAGCAAATTGTTCTGGCTGTTCAATTGATTGCTGCTGCCCGCCACTGGTGTCACCACAGTGTTGTTCATGGCCACACTGTGGCCGGATGCATTGGCACAGGCGGCTGCCGCTGCTGCTGCTTCCATGAATCGATCCTCGGGCAACGGCAATCCCACGGAAGTCGCTCCTCCAGACGGCACTGTGACCTTTTCCGGTCGACCAATTCCACCGCTGCAGAGACTGAAAGACAAGATCTCATCGATTTGGGTGCGGCAAAGGACGCACTTCTTCATTAGAGCACTACAGTGCTCGCATGCCACCATGTGACCGCAGGGTCGGAAGAAAACAGCTGCCCTGCGATCCGAGCAAACCATACACTCGTCGATCCGCTCGCGCGATGAGACGGTCTCCCGGCAGATGAGGCATTTCTTCACCCTCGGAGCGCAGGTTTCGCAGCAACTGACATGGCCACAGGGCTTAAACACCGTGTCCCGCTTGGCGTCCGAGCATACCAGACACTCATCCAGACTGGCCGTCGATTTCGGGGCCTCCTCGTGCAGGGACTGCGCCAATGTGGCGACCTTGCTGGTCAGCGACAAACTGCCGGAGGAGGACTGATTCAGGCTACCACTGTCTGCTCTTGCCCTGGCATTTGAACTGGTGCCGGCCACATTGCCGGGCAATTCGGAGTCGTCGGTTTTCCTTTCATTGTAGCACTTGACCAGCGTCTTGCATAGATTGGGATCCGGACACAGGTCCAATGGCGTCTGTTGCTTGCGATTCTTCAATGTCAGATCGGCTCCGTTGGCAGCCAAGAAGCAGGCAATCGATGCGGAGGCTTTCTTGTTGTTGGCATTCCTTAGACCCATCAAAAGCTTCCCGAATCCCTCCACATCCTGAAGTTGCTTCAGCTGCGAAAGAGTATGATGTCTGAGTGCTTCGTGCAGCGGTGTATCGCCATCCTTATCGGGTATGTTTAGATCAGCGCCATCCTGCACCAGCAGCTTGACAATCTGTACATGCTGACGCTCCACCGCCAGATGCAGAGCCGTCTGGAGGTTCACATTCTGCCTGTCCATGTTAGCCTTACCCATATGCACGAGGAGTTCGGCGATCTCAACGTGATTGTTGAGTGCCGCCAAGTGCAGTGCCGTATAGCCATCGTCCTTCTTCTCCTCCACGATCCATGGGCGGTTTGTCTTGGTCAGCAGGATCTTCATGGCGCTGGGATTGCCCTTGAGCGCAGCATGATGCAAGGCATTAAAGCCGTTGTTGTTGTTCAACGTGATGTCGGCCCCGAAGTCCAGCAGCAGGGAGAGCATCTCGTCGTGCTCCTTGGAGATGGCATCGTGGAGTGGGGTGTCGCCCTCGGAGTCCTGCAAACTGGGATGGCAACCCAATGTAAGCAGCGTCTTTACCACATTCAAATGACCCTTATTCACGGCAATATGAAGAGACGTTTGCCTTCGCTTATTGCGCGCATTCAAATCCGCTCCAGCTTTGGCCAAAATCTCAATTACCGCCGCCTCATCCCCGAAAGCGGCATGGTGGACAGCCCGATCTCCGTCCTTGTCCTCAATCTCAACGTCAACGGCGTGGCGCAGTAGCACCTGTATCACCTCGATGTGCCCATTCTGGCTGGCCGCCTGCAGAGCCGTATGTCCGGCAAACACCCCATTCACATTCACATCCGGCCCGGAACTGGGCGAAGCACTGGACGTGGAAGGTTGTGCTGCACTGGCCAAGTACTCCTCGCAACGGGCCTGCAAGCAGGGAGCAATGTTGTTCGACTTAAAGCCATTTAAATGCATATTAAACCATGTAACTCACCGCAAATCCATTGGCCGCTGCCTTGACGAACTCCTCGGTGGCATCCCCGGATACATTCGGTTCGAAGAGCTTCTTGAGAATGGCCGACAGACGTTCGCCAGTGGGAATAACTGGGGCACAGCCCCCATCAGAGGCGTTGGTGGAGGCCACTTTGCACACGGCCTGGGGATTGTAGGTCCACGACGTGTTGCCCACCTCCACCTTGAGGTCATTGTCATGGTAGACCTGCTGCACGCGTCCGATCTTGCCCAGCGTCAGCTGCATGGCATCGGCCCACTCACCATGGCCACGCTGCAGATTCTTGATGCTCTCCACATCCGAACAGATCTTGACGATGTCGCCCACTTGGAACTCCGGCGGAGCAGTGGTGGGCGAGGATACTTTAGTGAGGACAGCCGGGTTGAAGGTCCAGCGATTGCCAGAGTTGTAGGCCACCACAATGTCGTGATCCTCATCGATGCCCACTACCATACCGGCGTTGCTAAGGCACTCGAACATGCCATCGGTCCAGCCGCCATGTCCATGCTGCAGCGATTGGACGATCTCCAGGTCCAAGTCCACGGTGACCTTGTCGCCGATCTGGAAGCCATGCGGTCCCTTGCCGGGTCCGTTTTCGCCTAGGAGTGGCAGGTGATCCCGGTAAACATTACTGCCCTTGGCGTCGTTGACCACCTTCAGATCGGCCATGCCCTCGAAGCCCACGCGGTACAGATTCTTGGAGCCATTGTCCCAGATCACATAGGCCGCTGATCTTGGCGAGGCCGAGGACCAGTCCTGGATCTCGTTGACCTTGCCACGCCGGCCAACTCCGCCGTCTTGATCCTCCCACTGCCAGTCCACGCCGCGTACCACACGGGCTCCCGGAAAGATGCCTCTGGCCAGCACTTTCTTTGACTTTCGACGCGGTTCCAGCATGGTTCGCTCGCCACCTGGCGTCGTGATTCTGTAGAAACGGTGTCTCAGGTGATGCTTGTCGCCGTGGTAGCAGATGGAGCACAGGTCGTAGTTGATGCACTCGGCACACTTCCAGCGGATGCCGAAGATCGGTTGTTGGCGGCAAGTGTCGCACATGGTGCCCTCATGCTTCACGCCAGTGGGTGCACTGTCCAGGATGCGGAGATCATACGCACCGGCACAGCGATAATTGGCGGCGGTGCCATTGTCCCAGACCACCACAACCTCCTCAGCGGACTCGAAATTGCGCACGGTTCCAACATGTCCCTCGCCACCATCCTGGAGAGGAAAACATTTTATTAGTGGCTCAATGTTCCGATTTTCCATTGCGTAAGTGGGAAACCCACACTGATCAAGATGCGAAAAGTATAACTGAAGTGCATAATAGCAACTAACAAAGTGTTAAGGTAGGCAATCGCTACAAATTCATTTGGCTATCTCTCTAAGGGATCAACGAGTCGGGCAATAAACATTGAGCTTAAGGGAACGAAGGTTCACATACCCTTGTTTCTAGCTAACTTTGAGGGGTATATTTGTTCAACGTTTTTTGCCAAATCATCAATAATTTCATAATTTCCAGTTTGGTGAAATTTAATCGAGACATTTAATAAATAATTTATCGAATTCCTAAGTCAAATTCTATAAAAACATCAGATTAAGAAATCTAAACATTATCTGCATTAGGATTAGTCATATTTATCTACGATGCGAATAAAGAGACGTTATTGGCTAGATTATTGTAATTAATTATAAATTCCAGAGATTCTCGACTTTAACTTATTTCAATTTTAGTTTATGTCACATATTTTTGGAAATAACTTAATCTTGATATAGCTTCAAACAGATTCTGCGGATGTTAGCACAGAAAAGTAAAAGTCGTGCATGAGCGTGGTATGACTCACTCGTCATGTCAATTAAAGTAAATTTGAATATGTTACGAAAAATATTAAGGTAAACGATTTATGCTTTTAGTGTTAGGAAAAATTTATTAAAATTAAGAAAATGAATAAAAATGTAAAGACTTTAATAAAATTAAAAAAAAAAAAATTGTTTCCAATTTCAGCCAAATATCATTTTTAAATTCAAGGAATAATAATTTTATAAAATATACTTGCAGCTGCGGTCAAAATAATAGTAGTTGACATTAATGGATCATTAAAAAATTTATAATTGTTTTAGTTTTTCATGTTGTTAATAGGTTAAAAATAATTTAAGAAAATGACCACACATATGTACTTGGATTTGGAAAAAAATGTTTTAAGTATTTCATCTTTTTTTAATTTAACAATTCAAAACCATTTTCGTTGTTCGATCTTTTTTTAAATCATTTTAAATATTATACCAATGATTAATGTGTTTTTTTATTATTTGCTTATTTAGTTTTCAGAATTAGATTGCAGAAAATATACAATTAAGAGTTGCTTCCAAAATATTTTTGATTGCTAGATTCATAAGCTAAAAACCACTACTAGTTTGCCCACAACTGTATATGTATATTTATACATATTGCATTATATTTTCTATTTTAATCACTTTAAAACAATCCCTTGGTAAAATTTGTAAAAATACAATTAATTGTACTATCTGATATGATAAAATAAATATTTATCATACGTAGTCCTTGTTGAATGCAATGATAATAAACTTTACGAGGTTAATATAAAATCAATCCTCAATTTAATTTGTTCAGTGTATCAAAAGAGGACGTATGTATGTAAGTATACACACTTTCTAGGATAAATCGAGTCCATCGGAATTCTGGTGAAAACGCGAAAAGAGAAACTTGACTAGTTTGGCGAGATGTCTAGAACGGATTCACGCGCGGCATGCAATTAAAGCAAATTGATCGGTCAATTGAGAAGGGGAGAGTTTTCTACATAAACCAGAATCAGAAGACTTGACCCTCCGCACCTGTTTGTTCCACTTCCAGTCTGGTCCGCGGATCACCCTTGCGCCCACGCCCTCCATGGAGAATCGTCGGACGACGGCGGCCGCTGAGCTCGTTGCCACGCCCCCTGCCCCCGTCGAGGAGGAGGAGGAGGTGGTGGTGGTGCCACCCGGACCTCCAACACCTGCAATTGACGACCCACCCCCGCCCCCCGTTGCACTGCTCACAACTACACCCACAGCCGTGGTGTTGGTGTTGCTATTGCTATTGCTATTGGTGTTTGTTGGTGCTCCACTGGCATTTGCCGCATTTGTCGAGTCCTTGGCCGTCGATAAGGTGGCCGCACACGACATTTTACCACTCCGCAAGGTCCTTCGGCGGGTGGACACACTATTTCACAATTTATTGCACTATTTCGTTGGGGTTTTCGCGTTAAAAATCGAAACAGCAGAGCCACGGAATTTTACAACCTGCAGTGTGGCTGTAGCTTCGCAAACGATAAATTCCACGCTTTGCGATAAATGAATAGTGAGACCAAAATGTCTGAGCTCTGGTCACTCTAGTCCGTACAGTGGAAAATTGTTAGGCAAATTATTAAAAAAAAAAGTAATTGTTAGTAAATATTTTAATAGTATATAATAGTTATAAATAAGTTGGTAATTGGCCATTTAAATGCAGCTGTTTATTGTAAGAACACATCTTACAATTGATCGCCTGATGGCTTAAAATAATTGTTAGATATTGATATATATATAATTTGGTTTTTAATTAATTTATATGTATTTTTGTTTGTCTTTTTGCAAATAAAATTTAATAAAACTGGTCCAAAACTTAAGTTTTAAGGTACTGCTCAGGATCGGTGAGAAATGCTTCCAGGAAAGCAATTCCTTTTGGCAGATACTGAATGTTTTCATTGAAGAGATGCAGTTCGGGGCGCAAAATGTCTCTAAAGGAAACCTCCTTGATATTGGTTATTTCAACCAGGAAGCTGGTTTTCTCGAGGCGAACAACCGGATCGTCTTCTATACATTTTCGCACGGTCTTCCTTACTACAGTTCGATTCGCTTCCCTGTAAAAAAAAAGAAATTTAAGTTGTTAAATTAAGTTAAGCGCTAATCAATTGTTAAATTATATTTTGTTTTATTTAAATAAATATTATTTGTTCAGAAAAGTTAAGAAAATCTTAATCATAAGATTTCTTTACTGTTGAAAAATAAATCTTAAAGCTACATTAACTAATTTTTTGAGTTTTAAATATGATTTAGAAAGTTAAGTGAATTCGGGTCTCAGGTCTTGGATTTGTATGTAATTATTTAAGAAAGCATTAAGTAAACAAATTAGTGATTTCAGTAAAATTATGAATATCTTAATCACAAGAATTCTTTAATATTTGAAACACATCTAAAAGCTACATTAATACAATTTTAGAGTATTAAATTTGACTTAGAAAATTAATTGAGTAAAGGGATTTCAAGAAAGCACTTACCGCAGGAGCCTCGCCCTTTTCTCCGACAGAACGGTCAGCAGATTGTGGAAAGTTTGATTGATCTCAACAATACTTTGATCAATGCGGTGAAGGAATTTCAGAAAAGCTGCCTCGTCGTTGCCATCTATCGCATCGGTGAGATTCAGGGGTAGCTTGAGACTGAGCTGGAAGTCTAGAAAGTAGTCATGCGCCGACCATCTTTCCTTGGGAGTGGCCACCGCATTGTCCACTTCAATTGAGGTTACTTCGATGGCCGACTCATCCACCACGTCCAGGAGTTTGTAATTTACCACAATTCGAAACGTAGTCAGCAGGCGATGGTAAAATATCAACTGCTGGGAGATCTTTCGCTGGCAGTCGAATATCCAGTTTGGCTGCTGTTCGGCCAGCAATCTTTTGAGGTTTTCAAAGAAGGATTCGACAGGTTTGGTTGCAGCCTTTTGTTTAACGTTTATTTTTCTAAAAAAAAGCATATCAATTTTAATATATATGCAGTAATTAATTTCAGTATTCGGTGCTTACCTCTTTATCTGTTCCAGCAGCTCGGCTTTGTTCCACGTAATCGGCTCCTCCTCTACTCTCGTCTGATCCACAGAATCGTCGGAGTAGCCAGATAGCCGTGCCTGCTCCTCGATCTCCCAGTACCGGGTGACATCCTTCAGAGTGGGCTTCTCCCTTAGGAGGCGCAGTCGCTTTCGTTCCCTTGAAAATTCCCACAGTGTCTGATGGGGCAGGGCAAAGGAATCTGCCATGAACTTTGTTTCGCTCAAGGATTGATTGCAATTGCCACACTTCTTGCAGGATCCGCTGCTGCCGGCAATGACCACTGTGTTCAGCTGACCCTCGCAGAGTTCTGGCTTTGGTTGTGACTCCTCTGGATCCGCTTCCTCGATCTCTTCGTCCGTTTCCTCGGCCAACGTGGAGACCAGACTGAGCCGCTCATTGTCTATTTGATTGGGTTCCTCCGCCGCCTCCTCCTCATCCTCCAAATCTTGCATTCCTGCAAAGACGGTGGTGTCCCCGGTCAGATTGATGAACTTTGTGTTCGTAGCGGCCAAGCTCTTAAAGTTCGGATCGTCGGAGCTGCTGCTCTTCCTTTCGTTGGACTTGCGCTGCTCCTGGAAGTAGTTGGTCACATCCGATATGGTTATGGCTTTATCCTCCAGCTCTGTGTCAAACACCGATTTCCGTGGCAACTCCAGCATATCCAGAGAGCTTTTTTTGTTCAACTCAGCCATGGCAGGGTGATAAGCCCTTACTGCTTGTACCGACGCGTCCAACAGAGTTTTCGTAAAGGTCCTGCGGGATTTATCTGCGCCCGTTTCCGACTTTATGTTTGTCATCCGCCAAGCATCTTCCTGCTGCTCCTCCTCCATTTCCATTTCCATGTCCATGTTACTGACCACAAAAAGGTTCGTGTGTCGCTTTTTAGACTCTGGAAGATTGGGTGTAAGATGTGAGGGAAAGCGTTTCATCAGTGATTGGGTGTGATTTAATGGAGTTCCACATTCGGACGCGTCCGCATCTAACTCCATCTTCATTGGCTGGTAAATGGAAAGCTTTTTTTGCTGAGTTGTCACACGTTTCTTCTCCTGAGTCGGTGTCTTGCACATCTTCTCCTGAAGCTCGAACTCAGTCAAGGACATTCCAGGCGTGTAAGTAGACATTTGTTTAATTCTGGATGCTAATTTGATATTGGGCAGGGGTGTAATTGCATTGAAGTCGACATCCTTCATGGTGTTTTCGGGACTTTGAAAGTCCATTGATTCAGACATAACCATGGTTTGATGGGTCCTGGAATTGGGAGCAATCTCATCCTCTTTCTTTTCTTTTCCAAATACATAATCCTTCAGTGCTCGCAGAATTCCCTTGGGTTTTTCAACTTTTTCGTTCTCCACCTCCACAGGGATAGGTTTACTTAATCCGGGAACTTCCTCATCCTCTTCCATGGGCTCTGATAAAAGCAAAGTATGCCTTTTAAAGGATGAAGCTGATGGTGCAGGGATCCTTATTTGCTGATCCTCCTCCAGGGGCAAGTCGTCTTCAATGGGTTGGGCACTGGCAAGTGTAGCTCTTGGTTTCCGCGATATCTCTGTCCCGTTAAAACCCACATCCTCGTCAATGGTCTGCGATAAAATCATTGTTTTCCTTGATTTATTTGTATAATTTACGGCAGGCGATGGGGCTACATCCACCTCATGGGATTCCCCATGGTGACGACATGTGACATCATTCTCCTCAATGGGCTCCTGAAGAAGCAAAGTGTGTCTTGATTTGGATGTCGTTGCTCCAGAAGAGTGGGATACCTTTTTGGTTTCCAAATCTGCCTCACTGTTCAGATTGCTCTTAAGATCGGTGAAGACATTGGTAACTTCTTCAATGGGTTCTGCCATAATGAGCGTATGTCTAGCTTTCAATCTCAGAGGATCTGCTGAGTTGTGTGTGTTTCTTAGTTGAAGCCGCGGGTGTTGCTTTGGCTGATCTGTTGGCTCATTAAAGATTTCCGCATCTTCCTCAATGGGTTCTGCTAAAAGGAGAGTTTGACGAGATTTCGATGGCTGACTCTTATTTTTAATTGCCGGTTGCCCAATGGACTCTTCCATAAAATCAATGCGTTTTCTTGACTGATCATTGTTGTAGGCCATTGACTTGCACACCTCCGCATCTTCCTCTATGGGCTCGGCCATAAGGAGAGTTTGACGAGATTTTAACGACTGGCTCCTGTTCTTTATTGTCGTTTGCTGAAAGGACTCATCTCTAAACTCAATTCGTTTTTTTGGCTGATCATTATGGTAAGCCATCTCGGCATCTTCCTCTATGGGCTCGGCCATAAGAAGAGTTTGACGAGACTTGGATGGTTGGCCAACATTTGCAACTGCCACTTCCTGAATAGATTCTTCCATAAAATCAGTCTGTGTTGGCTTAAAATAAGACTGGTCATTTTTAAAAGCCTTAGATGTATGTCCCTCTTCTTCTATAGCTTCTGACATCAGAAGAGTTTGTCTCGACTTAATTGACTTATTAGTTGTGGCATCTTTAGTTGACTTTTCGTTAAACTGTACTTCATTTTGGCCCAAAGGGGGCAACTCACAAACATCTTCGTCTATTGGTTCCGACATTAAAAGAGTGTGTCTCGATTTTGAAGACGTAGAGTGAGTCGTATTGCTTAACGGGGCAACATGTTCTTCAATGGGTTCGGCCATGATGAGCGTCTGCCTTGGTTTGTATTTATGCTGTTCAGATGAATTATCTTCCTTTCGGGGAGTCGCCAAATCTTCAGGAACTGTCTCATGCATCAGAAGAGTGTTTTTCAATTTTAGGCTAGACTTTTCTTGGCACTCATTAGTTTGCATGTTGAATGGCTGTCCATCATCTTCTTCAATGGGTTCTGACATGATGAGCGTAGGCCTTGGTTTGTATTTATGATGTCCAGATGAATTATCTTCTTTTCCGGCTGTCAAATCCTCAGAAATTGGCTCATGCATAAGAAGAGTATTTCTCGATTTAAAGTGATTATTATTTTGGATATTCAGTGGCTGCCCATCATCTTCTTCAATGTGTTCGGACATGATGAGCGTCTGTCTTTTCTTGAATATATGCTCTTTAGATGGATTTTCCTCTGATCCGATCGCTACATCCTCACAAATTGTCTTATGCATAAGAGTGTTTCTTAATTTCAAGCGAGACTTTTCTTGAAACTGATCCATAGACTGTTGTTCGACGAATGTCTCTTCAATCGGCTCAGACATAAGTAATGTGGGCCAAGTCTTCTGACGCTGCGGAACAGTTGATCTATCAATAGTTGAGTGCCTTATTATTGGTTTATTTTTGGGTTCTGTTGTATCCGTCATGGTAATTTGATCGTTCGCCTCAGCTTCTATGGGTTGATCTAAAAGAAGCGTATGTCTTGATTTAATATTTGTGTAATTAGTTGTAGTTATAATGCAGCCCGTTTCTTCTTCCATGGGCTCCTCTAACAGGAGAGTTTGCCTGGCTTTGGATTTTCTTTCCTGATCCGCCAAGATATTTTTAGGTAATTTCTTGCCTGGGTTTATATCCTCTTCCTCCAGAGGTTCTGCTAAATGTACAGTTCTCCTTTTAGAATTATGTCCATGCAAATCATTCCCATTACCTTCCAATTCCTCTTCCATCGGCTCCGCTAAAAGCAGTGTTGGCCTAGCTTTGGATTTTTCTTTAGGTACAACGTTGCCATAGCTAACTTCCTGCTCTTCCACGGGTTCTGCTGAACGTAGAGTTTGGTTGACATTGGATTGACTTTTTCCTACACGATCAGCTGTTGGTTTTAAGTGCAAATCCTTTAATGGACTTATAATGCCCTCTTCCATGCTTTCCTGCATCAGAATAGTCTCCCTGCGCTTTGTCTTGGTGCATGCCCAAACTTTGCTTTGCTGTTCGTTACTTGTGGACTTTTCATAGACAATCTCCTCCGTTGTGACCGCAATCTCCTTCCTGAAGGGCATAGATTTCGTGGCTTCCTGATCCATGGATTCATTAAGATGCAATGTACGACGAGTGGGAACTGCTTTCACGCCAGGAATATCGGAAAAAGCTACCGGCTCCTGCTGCAGTTTCTTAGCTGCTGTGGAATGAAAGTCCTGACTGCTTGTAGGATACTCCAAACTCAATTCAGAGTGGTCGTAAGTGGTTTCCCGCCTCGTAGAGTTCTTGGATGTATTTCTGGACTGCGTTTCATCGCCTAATCTTGCGTGAGCCAAGAAGTTTGTGTTGTCTAACATCAATTCATCCGCCTGGGATAGTCGATATTTTCGCTTGTCATCCACCACCTTCAGCGTCTCCTTTTCCTTTCGAACTGGACTGGTTGGCGCCGGCGACATGGTCATGTTCTCACTGAAATTTAACGTTCCTCGCGGCTTTATGCTCCTTATGTCCTTCTTGGGACTTTCATCTTCCATGGCTTCCCATTCCAATCCATGCCAAAAACGCTTTTGCTTGTTCCTGCGATCCGTTGTTGGTGTTTTTGGGCCATTGGGAAACAGTTGAATCTTACCCGCCTCCAGCTCATCGTTTAGTTGACGAAAGTTGATTTTCTTGCTAATGTTTTTACCCGAAATCATGTCGAATGGTATCAACACGGACTCATCTTTCATATAACTAATTGTGCTGCTGTTGCTCTCAAAAGAGGTCGATGGCACATGATTCCGGTCCTCCGAGACTGTAAAATAAAATGGTTTACGTTAATTATAAATTTATGTGCTGCCTACTTTAAAAATTCCTTTCCAATTAAAAAAAAAAACTAAAAAAAATTATAGCTTAATCAATCTTATTTAAATATACAGCGGGTATTATTAGTTTAGTTATAGGAGCTATCTATTAAACTAAATATATTGAAAAGGAATTTAAATTAAACGAAACAAACCATTTAAAGGGCAGTCGAAGGATAAATCTACGACTTCGTGTTGGGTTTTATTCTTGTTCTCCTTTCCCGCCTCTTCTAAATCCATAAACAGTGATTTTTGGGCTGGTGTTTTCTTCTCCTTCTCGTTGAACTCGCGCATTTCCCTCTCCATGCTGTCGTCTTCCAGTTCCATGGAACTGTGTTGGCTCGGAGGATAAGGAGCTGCAGAAGTGGGAACAGGAGCAGATGATGGTGGAACTTGAGCAGGAGGAGCAGTAGGGGCTGTTGGAGGAGAGGCACGGAAACCCAATGGCGTGATGTCCATGAAGGAGTCACCAACTCCCTTCGCTGCTGGGGCATTTACACTTTTTACCCTTTCCACGGCAGGCAGTTCAATGGAGGGATTCTCAATATCAGCGAGTGGCCTTTGGTTCCTGGTTACCAAAGAACCCGACATCAGATCCATAGTTTTGTCCATTAAACGCTGATCGTAGAGACTGCTTTGGAACACTTTGCGCTCCTCGGACGACAGAGAGATGGAGACCATGGCGGTGGTGGTGGTGGTGGTGGGTGTTTTTTGTGTGTTTTGCATCAGTTCGCAGGGCAACATGGTGACATCCACGCTGGTCTGGAAATTAAGGGACACGTCGACCTCTTCCCGTAGTGGAACATTCTCCTTGTCCGCATCCTCTGGAGGTTTCGATAGCGATCCCGATTTCGATACTGATCCCGAATCCAGTGATCCTGCCCTTGATCCAGAGCTGTCTTCCGCATTGTGTTCTGATACCTCGTACGAGTCGGCCCAGTTGTTGGTCTCCTTGGTGTTGACAAATTCTCTATTTAAAGCGTGGATAAGAATATAATTATACATGTAGTGGCTGGGATTCCCATACTGTACTTACCGCACGAACTTTTTGCCACTGAAACTGATTCGTCGCTTGATTTGTTGTTTGGTCACTGACGTTGTTATCGTCGGGTCGTCTTCTTTCAAAGGCGCCTTCCGCAACTGCAAAATGGTGGAATAAGTCTCTATTAGTTGGTCTGTGAAATTGTTTTATTTTGAAACACCCACGGAACTACGGCGTTTGATTGAATTCATCGCGCTGTTAAAATTGTTTTTAGTTTAAAATCTCATTGGACAGACGCCGCCAGTTTTGTGTGAATGGCAAAATGGGAATGCCAACTCCTTGGCATTCACAACCTTAAATACAAAACTATATAAAACTGATGAATTAATTTTAAAATAAAATAAATAATTTAATCCATTTAATTAGGCTTAGCTAATTTTTATGAATTCATTATTTGTTCATAACTAATTAAAGAAAGTAACCTAAAACAAAAATACTAAACCAAATCTAAAAAAGGCACTAACGCTTATAACGATCGCTGCGGATAAAATAAATCCGTTGCGGTTTGAACAAATACAAATTATCTATAACAAGGAAAAAAGCAAACAAAGCCAGAGTTTATATACCCTTGTAGATATTATAAAAATGTAATATGACCCCATGGCAGCTATATGAAATAGTAGTGCGATCTTTATAAAATCAAAACCGTTGTTATGAATTATTATTCTGACTTGACATAACTGTTTCATGCTATTGACTCTTACGAGTTATGGAAAGAATATAGTTTTCATTTCACAAATGACGTTAATTTTATTAACCATCAGATCCAATTTTAAATCACATATTTTAAAGTTTTATAGAAAGAAATGCCCAGACAATATTAGGCCTTGAAGGTGTCCTTCTCCTTGCGCAGCTTGCCCATGGTGACGATGGGATCGGTGGCTCCTCCGGCGTGTTTCTGCACGGTGGCCTCGTGGACGCGCATGAATGGATTCCAGGACTTCTCCTCGCCAATGGTCGAGGGAACAGTGGGATCCTGGGAGGCGCGACGATGCTTGGCCCACTCTATCCGCTGCTGGATGACCTCGTTGTCCGGCTCCACGTGGCGGGCGAAGCTCATGTTCTGCAGCGTGTACTCGTGGCCACAGAAGACCTTGGTGTCGTCCGGCAGGGCGGAGAGTTTGGTGCACAACGCCTCGTACATTTCCTCGGCGGTGCCCTCGAAGAAGCGTCCACATCCGCCCTGAAAAAGGGTGTCCCCGGTGAAAACGGCTCCCTCACCGCTGCCATCGCCCGCCGTGACATGGTAGCAAATGTGTCCGGTGGTGTGACATGGAGTGGACAAACACTTGACGTTCAGGCTGCCAATGGTGAAGCTATCATCCTGCTGAACCTTCTGGTTCAGGGCGCCAATCCTGTCATCGCCACCATAGACATCTAGCTGCTTTTCCCATAGCTTCACCAGCTTCTCATTGCCGCCAGCATGATCCCAGTGATGATGTGTGGTCAGTACCTTGTTGAGGGTCAGCTGCTCCTCCTGCACCGTCTTGATGACCAGTTCCGGTTCCACGGGATCCACCACGGCTGCCTCACGCGTCTTCGTGTCCACAATCAGATACATGTAGTTGTCCTGCAGGGCCGGCAGTATCTTAATCTCCATGCCCTCCAGTTTCACGTCCTCCAATGTGCTATGCATGCCTCTCAATCCCACTTTTCTGAGTTTTTGCACTGAAATCAGATATTCGGTTTGACATTGAGATTGACACGAAAAAAAACAGGTAGCAGGGCAAACAAGCAACGATAAATGGAAATGCAGGGCAAGAGATTAGATTAAACACAAATATACACAGATAGATTACGGTTGACGAGACTTGGACAGACGGGCACAGCCAGAAATCGTCTTCGAATTGCTCCAAAACCAGGGGAATCCGCTTGAGGAACCGCCAGCCGCAGACGCAATCGCAGTTTGCTGGACGAACCTCGGAAGTAGGTGGCGGTCAATTGGGTCTCCACTGTGGTGGCCACACTGCGCCAGGCGGCGGAAAACATTGCGGATGATTCTGATTTCTAGATTTAGCTAAAAGCGTGTGTGTTTTCTATGAATTAAATATGGCAAATTACAGTTGTTTTTTTTATCCTATTTCTTCGGATAAGCGAGAGTGACCGTTTTCAGAGCGGCTTAAAAAACCCAATAACGGAATTTAGAAAATACCAAAATATACTAAATTAAATAGCTGTGAAACCGACCATGGTTGGAAGCCGGGACGCGTTATTAGCATGGACTCTGACCATAAAAAAACCCGTTACTTTTCTTTATTATATTTTCTTATTTAATTTGTGTTTTCTTAGCAGTAGCTTTCAGTTTTACACCGGTTTGACCAATCAAAACTAACGTAAGAGTGAATTCTTTAGATCAAGAGAACCTTGTGTGTAACATCCCTTATAAAGACAAAATAATCAAATTCCGTTTGTAAATTCTTGAAGTTAAGAGAACTAAACCCATCAATATACATATATATCATATGTTCATTTCAACCTAGTAAACCCCCTAAAACATATGTCAGTTAGGTTTGAACTAGCTTGCCCATAGTAGAAAATATAAAATTACAGTCCAATGTCCGAATCGACTGATCCTCACTGCTCCACCTCAAAGTCCAACCTGATCAAAGTGCACCATGTGGGTGTAACTGCCAGGATGCAGTCGCCCTTGAAGAAGCTTCTGCCCCGGATGAATTCCTCCAGCGATTCGGATGTGTACCAGAACAGCCAGAACCAATACAACATGTTCAAGGACGTGGGGCGTGGTGAGATGACCGAGTCCACGGCTTCGGGTAGCTCCCCACATACTCTTTATCAGATGCACGCCGAACCGGTCAAGAGTCTGCTGAATCACTCGAAGGATAAACCGCAAAGGATCGAGTTCCAGCGCTACTCGAAGAAGCGACCACATGTGATTGTTCCAACAAGATCGGCTCCCAAGGTTAAGAGTCGTCGTTCGAAATCCCACAAAGCCTCGCAGGCGCAGAAGCAGAAACCGGGATTCCTGACCCGTTTGTTCGAATCACTGGACAAGATGTGCCAGTGCCAGCCTCAAAGCCCGAAGTCCATTATCGATGATCTGCCGGAGCCGAAGTGGAATCACAAGGAAGCCAGCCGGCACACCTGCATCGGTATCTATCCGTTTGAGCATGGATGCGCCGACTATCTGAGCACCACGGATACGCATCCGAAGATCAACGCCATTGTCCTGGCGGATCGGGCCACCACCTATGCCACCCACTTTTGGGCGGAACTCTTCGGACTGCTACACATCGCCGTGGCCTTTGTGGTGGCCTTCATCCTGCAGAGCTACCGATTTGTCCTATACTCGCTGGTCAACACCCTGATCGTCGGACTGCTCCACATGACCTCGGACTACATGTTGAAGCCCATTCTGACCATGATCTTCAATGGCTACCTCCAGCCGCCGTTGATTCTCCTCTATAACATCTTGTGCTCTGTGAGGGACATCCTGGAACCGGTGGCCAGTACCCTCAATAACTTTATGAAACCACTGGCCACCGTGGGAAATAGTTTTAGACTGGTGGATGTCAATTACCGACAGATCCATAAACTGGCCAAAGATGTTTGAGTGTGTGTTTTTTCTTAGTTTGTTAAATTGTTATTATGTTTCTGAGTTTTGTTAAATACGTACACAATATATTATTTTGGATTTGCGTTTTATTTATTTTTAAACTTTTGTTTTACAAATAGCTTTCGAAATTTAGAAAAGCTCTAATTCTTTTATATCATGGTTTAAATTTTGATAACGCCATAAATTACTTTTTATTATGATTTTTTAAAATATTAACATTGAGTTCTTATAAAATTAGTTCCCTATTTTCTCGGGGAATTCCCTTATTAAATTCCCCTTATAAATTCGTTTCATTTTCATTGTATTTTGTCACTGGTGTTTCTGGTCCATTCGTTTCTCTAGAGGGCGGAGCTATTACAACCCCTAAAATTTCAACAAGTTTTTCGTCAACTTCCCCAAACTCTTCAACACTCAAACACACAATATTACGCACATTTCAAAAACCAGCTCGGATTACATTGTTTTTCTTGTTTCATAGAAGTGTAGTTATGGTGACACACCCCCTACCCCACACAAACTGAAAATTTAAGGGTGAGTTCGGAGCTCAATTACGTTGAATGCAACATTTATGATTTATTTGCTCATTTTGCGGCTAGGGAAAGCATATGTCCAAAATAAAAAACAAAAACTGCACTAATTGTGTCCCGCGGGGTTTGAATTCATTTACAATTTAGGGTAAATCAAGGCGAATGAAACAAAGAATTTTATGGGTATTCAGGTAATATATGTTTTATAATTTATTTAAGAAATTTAAACTAGATTATTAAAGTAGCATTTTTAATTAAGCAAAATTTTTCCGTTCGCCTTATTAAGTCTTCAATTAATTAAAATGGTTTTAGTTTTTTCAAAAATTTTAACACCAGGAGTAAAAAATAATTTTTATTAGAACAAAAACATCATATCTATACCTTTTAGTAGTTCTTAATAATTCTTTGAACTCCACTACCGAGTTTGGATACCATTTGAAAACCAAGTTATGAATGGTTTGACGATTTTATCTCAAAACCTTTCTTTTGACCTTCACTAATCCCTGACCAGAAAATTTCTTAGAAATAATTCTTATTATAGTTTGCAAAAAGAAATCAATAAAACTGATCTACAAAAATGATGGCTATCAAGGGATTTAGTTTCCATTCCGCCTAAGTTTTTATGTTCAATGGAATTCCCATTCACAAGGTAAACACTGTAATCAATTATTATATTCAAATCTTTGCAGGTATTGTGTGGGTATACAAATAGTTGGACGGTGTTAAGCGGAAAAGTTGTAGTTTTGTTATTTATCAGTTGAGTGGAGAAAGGAAACACCAGCGGAGCTTTCATTAATGAGAATAATGAGCTGGTTGCCAACTAAGGATCGTCTTTCACTGCACCCCTTTCCGAGTTCTGAATGGGGAACCGGACTCACAGGCACTCAGCCCGCCCAATTAGCCGTAGAAATTGTTTAGGCGTTCGAGTATCCCGGCATATGTTTGAAATTAACGTGGAAAACACGCGAAGCATTGATTGATTTGCGTTACTAAGTGGCAGGGGAAAATAAAATTGTGTTTTCCTGGTTTTTCAGATTCTGAAGAGGATTAATTGGATGGTGTCGTTATGTCTCTGAAAATATTGTTTTAATCTTTTGAAAATATGAAAAATTAGGTTAAGATAATTTTTAAAAACATTTTTGAAATCTAATTAATCCATTTTAAAATATTAATTAATATAATTAATATTAAGAACTATCAAAAATTATTTTGTAATTTTAACATCCAAAAAAAAACCCATTATAACAATAAACATTGTTTTTCAAAGTATAATCTAACTTAAAATAAACTAAGGTCATAATATGGTAATTATAAGCATATTTAATTGGTTTATCAAATAGAAAATTTTAGATTTACATTTAAAACTTAACATTTCCATACTTAAAAAAAATAATGTGTAACACACTTAGATTTAAAGACAACACCCCTCGGGGCTAAGTCAGTACCGAACATTTTTAACTCAAAGAGAAAATATTTGGACTTTCATAATTTAAAAAATAAAAAAAAAAATAAATATATTTGTTAAGGATTTATTTTACTTCCTTTTTGCATTAAATCTTTATTATTATCTAATAATGTATTCCTAAAATAATGTTTTTGAAGAGAATATTAAACAACCCTTGATAAATCCGTGGGCAAATAAAATATATATTGTTTTGAAAGTCTTTATAACTTCCGAGTGACCTTTTAGGCCTGCTACATTGCTTAAAAAGTACGCAATGTTTGCCCAATTTTCCTGTTTCCAAATCGTATTAATTGGATTGTGCTGTGATGTGTCTATAAACACCTTTGTTTGCTACGCGTAATGCCCAAAACATTTTCGGGCTAAAGGTGCGAAAATCATTTGGCATCGCCAGACAAAACTCTCCCACACATAATACCTCGGTTGGCCCATTATTGTGTGATCGACAGGCGGATAAAGGGAATCCTCCTCATGAATGGGGAAGCAGACAGAATAGCGACAAGGTGACACCTTACAAAACGCTTTGTTGGGAATTTCGGGATTACAGATGGTAAGCTGTTTTCTGGGCTGCTCTATTTTCTGGTCTGGCCCGACCTGAAACTAGAATTTCGGGATTAACCGGGCAGGTTTTTCTCCTACTGGGATGATGACGTTTGCTAAATATCTCACAGTGTCCTGTCTCATTTTGCGAGAAGTTAAGTAATATGTTGAACGTCGACAGCGAAACAATGTACTACAATGGAAAACTATTGAAAAACTATTGAAAACCGATGGGCTGGCCAGCCACAAATGGTTATGCAAGAAGTTACAAGTAAATACAACAATTTGAGAAGAACATTGCGGATCTTGGTATGGAAAATTGAGTAATAGTTGGAGATTATCGCAAAGTGCTTGAAAATTCTGGGTATTTTAGGGGATAATATATGGCCGAATGATGCAAAAAGTTGGAACTTAGCTGAAATGTGAGAAGAGCTACTTAAAAAGTATTAGCCAGGAAGTACTTTTTATCATCGGATGTGCGGATTAGGATGAGATTAGATGGCTGAATTTTACAAGCACTGCTTATACAAAAGTTATGCGAAATATATTAAATAAGTATTAAACGGAAATGTTTAGAGTTGTACATGGTGTCAATTAAAAAGCTATATCTTATCTTAAAAAATAAAAATGTTTTATAAACTTGATATACTTTTTGTGTGCATTGTTAATGTTAAAGTAAATAACGCATTTTTTTCTTTATAGTTTATTACAGAAATAATGTCTTATTTTCCAAACTTTATTAAGATTTTAAGTAATCAAAATTTTTAAATTATCACAAAAAACGTATTTATTTAACATGAAACTACTTTTAGCTATATTTCTAATCCTTTTCTTATTTTTTCTTCTATGTTTTTTATTCGAACTTGGAGTGTATTTAAGCGGTCCGATGCGAATTGCATTCATGCGCTTGCATTATTTAAGAAACAGACACCAGACGCCCGAGGGAAAAATT